AAAAGTTTGATACATGCTTTGGCAAGAATCAGATGTAGTTCAGAATAAGGGGGAGGGTAGGTTTCAATATCTAATTACCCTAAAAATGTTAGGACCTAACTATATACATAGTTATTATAAAGTAGGACTCAAGTGTCTGGGATAGTAACAGCCAAAGGTCACTTGTTGAATGGTGTTAAGAATCAGTGATGAGGGGCTGGAGACATGGCTCAGTGGTTAAGAACACTGACTGTTCTTCCAGAGGACCAATGTTCAGCACGTACATACATGGGAGCTCACAACTGACTCTACAGTTCCAGAAGACCTGACTGATACCCTTACACAGGTCAGACACCAATGCACATAAAAATAATTAAATTTTAAAAACTAATCACTGACGAAACATGAAATCTACTTTTCTGTGTGATTGTTGGGCTTAGAGACACTTTAAATGTGAAAGTTAAGTGCCAAGTTATCAGTCTTTCCTCTCAATTTTTTTTTTTTTTGTGACAGGGTTTCTCTGTGTAGCCTGAGAACTGACTTGCTCTGCAGACCACTCAATTTTTAAATTTTTTAAAAAATTATGTGTATGTGTTGTGTCTGTATGGGTATGTGCACATGCCTATAGGTGCTCATGGCAGCCAGAGGCATTGGTTCCCCCGGAACTGGAGTTACAGGCGGCTATGAGCCATATGACATGGGTGCCAGGAATTGAACTTCGGTTCTCTATAGCAGGATATGCTCTTAATAGCTGAGCCCTCTCTCTAGGCTCTTTATTTTGTTTTTCAAAACAGGGTTTCTCAAGTAACCCTGGCTGTCCTGGAACTCATTATGTAGACCAGGCTGGTTGTGAATTCATAGAGCTCTGCTTGCCTCTGACTCCCAGTGCTGGTATTAAAAGTATCTGCCACAATGCCCAGCTGGTAATCAGGTTTTCAAAGGTACAGTACACTTATTAGGGCTCTGGCACCCTGGGAAACAGTTACGGCTTTCTGTCCTTGATCTCCTGAGGGCTGGAAAGAGGCCAGAGGGCACTGGTTGTCCTGCTCTGTCACTCTCCACCTTACTCCTCCGAGCTCACTAAAGCTGGAGCTCACCACTCTTCAGCTCGCTGGAAGGTCAGCCAGTTCCCAGGCCTTCTTTGCTCTGCTCCCTCTCATTTGTTGTCCCATATGGACATAGCTAACTTCATGTGGGGCTGGGAAACCAAACTTGCTGGTGAGCCATTTCCCCAGCCTGATTTTCATTTTTTTTGAAAGTGTGTGAGAAAGAGATGGGCTTATTTTAGGAACTTAAGAGTCTAATGGGAGTGATAGGGGAGGTTCAATAACAAGCCATTAGAGACAGTGACAGTTCCCATAAGAAGTATAAGAAGTGGATAAGGAACTCAGAGGAGGGAATGAACAACTCTTTTCTGGCAACTTTGACGGCATTTTAACTGGTCCTTAAAGAATGGGTGGATTTGGATGTGTGGGCAGAGAGGAATACCACACACAATAGAAAGAGGTGGAAGCAAGCCAAGGTGTCTGGAGAATGAACAGGATCTAGCAGCATGGCTGTGGTTTGCTGAGGGCACACAATCAGAAATGGTACCTGCTCGACATTGCTCATATCAAGCCAGTCTTGATCTTCCAGCTCTACTGCCATTTCTTCCAAATACACACAACGGCTGGGGATGCCATTCCCGCTTTTCAAGTTTGGGTCACCTGTGAAACAGTTTTAATCTGATGGGTTAAAGGTAGTGTTCCTGTCCTCATGACACGGTTTTGTTTTGTTTTCCCTCTTTGACACAGGGTCTTGCTATGTTGCCTAGGCTGGTCCTTAACTTTTAGGCTCAAGTAGTCCCTCCTGCCTCAGCCTCCCCAGCAGTGGAGACTAAAGGCATTTACAGCTGTGCTCAGCTTCCAGCAACTGACCTTGATAGCAAGTCCTGAATTCACTACAGTGATCGATACACAAAGAAGCTACACAGCATACTGTTATGGACCCTCAGTATGACATTTAGGAAGAAAATTCTAGATTCTAGCATTAACTTTAGGGTTGAATTACAGACAGGGCACAGATGTAAAACACATCTGGACTTCTCAGCATCCATGGAAGAAGAAATCGGGGTTAGCTACTCTTTCTACTTCCTTTTAAAGGTAGTAGAGGCATGTAGTTACACAGCCCAGTAAGCACCAAAATGGCAACAGAAGTTAGATCTGTAGAAATACTGTTTGTTTTTTTGAGACAGGTCTTCTTTGTGTAGCCCTGGCTGTCCTGGAACTCACGCTGTAGACCAGGCTGGACTTGAACTCAGATTCACCTGCCTCTGCCTTGCAAGTGTTGAGATGAAAGGTTGTACCACTACCTCTTGGCTGTTTTTTTTTTTTAAAAAAACTTACTAAACTAAACCCTGTGCTCCAGGGAGGACAGGGGTGGTTTTAACCATTAGACACAGCAATTTTCTAAGAGCCAAAGTAGTCCCTGGACCAAGCCAAGAGGGAAGAAGAGACAATCGGTGGGTATAAGTCCACAACTCACTGTTGTCTAGGGTAATGAGGAAGATCCTTTGGATCATGTGATTGATGTTGAGTTGCTCGCATATTTCTTGCTGTGACCGGAAGGAGCGGCTAATCTCAGACACAGAGTAGTCAAATTCATCCAGGCTCTCCGACACACTATTATCCGAATCATCTGGGCTTGCTGGGAGCTCATCTGCCAGAACACATAAGCTGTTACACAGTATGCTCCTCCCTTAGGACAAACACACTACCTAGAAGGAATGTAGCCGCCAGAACAACTGCAGGTGTGAAACATTCATCTCACTAGGGAGCAACTCAAGCCAGGCAAGTGAGTGTAGGCTTCTGAAATTGCCTTCTATACAGTAAGCTTTATTTCTTCCACCCATAATTGTACCCCACCCTGCCAAAATTAGCAACATTATCCAACATTTTTACAGAAAAAATAATTATCAAATAGATCAAATGACAGTAATTATTTTAAATGTATGGCCTTTCCTCGGAGAATACATTTGTTCTGGTAATTTTACACTCAGGAATATATCCTGTAGAAGGGCTTGTCCAATTGGTACCTTATAGATAGCTGCTTAATTCTGCAGTGCTCCAGACTCTTGTGCTAGCGTTTATTACTACTGTTTTTTATTTAAAGAATAGTTATGCTTTTCAGTTGCCTTTCCTTGTCTCTTTGACATTTATTTTTGTGTGTGGGAATGTGTCAGTGTGCACCTGGAGGTCAGAGGCAGTCTGTAGCAACCAGTTTTCTCCTCTTGTGTGGGTGTGGGGACTCAACTCGGGTCATCAGACAAGGTGGCAGGACCTTATCTGCTGAGCCATCTCATTGGGATCATTTTTTAATGATGATTTTAATGAGTATGTATGCACTGTGCGGAAATACACATGCTCAGCCATCTCTCCATGTCTTTTTGTTATTGTTAATGACAGGTTTGTACCATACTTTAGAACATTTTTTTAACCATTTCCTTATTTTTGTATGTGTGTGTATGTTTATGTGCCATGACATGCATTTGGAGATCTCAGAACAACTTAGGGGAATTCTTTTTCTCCTTCCACTATGTAGTTTCCAAGGATCAAACTCAGGTCATCAGGACTGGAAAGCAAGTGCCTTTGCCCACTGAGTAATCTTACCAGCCCCTCAGCGGGCTTCAAAGATTATATATATATATATATATACACACACACACACACACATTTGCATGCATATATGTATGTGTGTGTTGTCTATAAGTATGCTTGCACACCAGAAGAGGACAACAGATCCCATGGTACTAGTTATAGATGGTTATGAGCTGCCATGTGGGTGCTAGGAATTGAATCCAGGATCTCTGGAAGAGCAGCCCTTAACCACTGGGTCATCTCTCTAGCTTCTCAACTGGCTTTAAAAAATTATTATTATTATTTTTTTTTGGTATAGGTGTTTTGTCTGAATGTATGTATATGCAATGCATGTGTGTGCCTTATGGCTGAAGAAGTCAGAGATGGCATTGAAGCCCCAGAACTGGAGTTGCCGATGGTTACAAGCCACCATGTGGGTGTTGGGAACCAAACCCAGGACATTTGCAAGAGCATCACATGCTCTTTAACTGCTAAGCCATCTCTCCAGCCCTCCATAGGCCTTCCCGTGAGTTATTCAGAGGCCTTCTTCATTCCACTTACTGTGTTTGTGTTTTCTGAAACAGGGTTTTCTGTTGTCCACACACTCCCTATAAGGATGATCTTGAACTTGTAATCCCCTTTTCTCCAACACTACACACACCTGCTTTCATGTTGCACCTGGGATTAAGCCCAGATTTTGTGCTTGATTGGCAAGCACTTTACCAACTGAATTATGTCCCCAGCCCTGTTTTTCGTCTTTGATATAGTGTCTTATGTTGCCCAGACAAGCCTTAAACTATGTCGGGGAGGATGGCCTGACCTTCTGATCCTCCTGCCTTAGCCTCCTGAGTAGCTGAGATTATAGGCCAGCACTAGCTGGCCCAGCCCATCTCATTTAACAATTGGGTAGTAATGTACTTTTTGGCTTTACTATGACTTATGTAGTCACTTAAACTCCATGTTTATTCATCAGATGAACATAAGACCTGTTCCAGGGTTTCATGATCTTAAGAGATACAGCACTGAGTGTAATCTGATTGTTTTTGTTCACGTGGGTGAGTATTTTTGTAAGACAAAAATCTGGGAAGTAGAATTATTGGCTCAAAGAGCTTGAGAACCACAGAGTGGGTGAGATTGCTCAGCAGATAGAGGCACTCGCTGCCAAGCCTGGTGCCATGCGTTCAATCCTTGGAGCCCACATGGTGGAAGGAGAGAACTGAACACCGCGAGTTATTCTCTGTCCTACACATATACACACATACACACTAAATGAACACAATATAAAAACTTTTAAAGAGCTTAAGTATTTTAAAAGTTAACACAATTTATTCTCGAAGAGACTGATTTTATCTACACAACTAGCTAGGAGTTTGAGAAAATGTCTAATTTTAATAAAATGTGATCTAGTTACAGAGGCAGCATGAAAACAGAGGAATCTCCACTGAAACAAGGCACGCGTGGAGGAAAGGTCTACAGAACAAGAGAGGTCAAGAAAAACGTAAAGGGAACTGAGCACTGCTGCCCTTCAATACGGAGAAAAATGATCACAGTATGAGCTGCAGGTGGCAGAAGACACATTTCTTAACCAGCTTTTATTGAGAACTGATTCCTGAACCAACTCAGCATGGCCTATAGAGGAGGAGGTGAGCATGGCCAGACCCCCTCAGTGACCTCTTCCCAGTTTAGCCCTCGAAGTCTTTCCACCAACAGCACCCCAACACATAATATATGCATGGTGTCTGACTTTTTCTACCCAAACATGGGAGGTGTGGAAAGCCACATTTACCAGCTCTCTCAGTGCCTCATCGAGAGGGGGCACAAGGTCATAATCGTCACCCATGCGTACGGAAATCGAAAGGGCATCCGTTACCTCACCAATGGCCTCAAAGTTTATTACCTGCCTCTCAGAGTCATGTACAACCAATCCACAGCCACGACTCTCTTTCACAGTCTGCCATTGCTCAGGTACATATTTGTTCGGGAGAGAGTTACCATAATCCATTCCCACAGTTCCTTTTCTGCCATGGCTCATGATGCCCTCTTCCACGCCAAGACAATGGGGCTTCAGACAGTCTTCACAGACCATTCCCTTTTCGGATTTGCTGATGTCAGCTCGGTGCTCACAAACAAGCTTCTAACTGTGTCGCTTTGTGACACAAACCACGTCATTTGTGTCTCTTATACAAGTAAGGAAAACACTGTCCTACGAGCAGCACTGAATCCTGAAAGAGTGTCTGTCATTCCTAATGCTGTGGATCCTACTGACTTCACCCCAGGGCCACTTGGGAGGCATGACAACAGGATAACTATTGTTGTGGTGAGCAGACTTGTTTACAGAAAAGGCATCGACCTGCTCAGTGGGATTATACCTGAACTCTGTCAGAAATATCCCGAGTTAAATTTCCTAATTGGAGGAGAGGGACCAAAGAGTATAGTTTTGGAAGAAGTACGGGAAAGATACCAACTACATGACAGGGTGCATCTTTTGGGAGCTTTAGAACACAAGGATGTCAGAAATGTCTTAATTCAAGGCCATATTTTTCTTAATACCTCCCTGACCGAAGCTTTCTGCATGGCAATCCTGGAAGCCGCCAGCTGTGGTCTACAGGTCGTCAGCACCAAGGTTGGTGGGATTCCCGAAGTCCTTCCAGAGAATCTTATTATTTTATGCGAACCTTCAGTAAGATCTTTGTGTAAAGGGCTGGAAAAAGCTATTTTCCAAGTGAAGTCAGGGATGTTACCGGATGCAGAAAATATCCACAATGCAGTAAAGGCTCTCTACACCTGGCGGAATGTGGCGGAGAGAACCGAGAAGGTGTACGAGAGGGCGGGGAAGGAAGCCGTGCTGCCAATGCATAAGAGGCTGAACAGGCTCGTCTCTCACTGTGGCCCACTTACAGGCCACAGCTTTGCTTTGCTGGCTGTGTTCAGCTATCTTTTCCTCATGTTCCTGAGATGGATGACTCCCGATTCGGTCATTGATGTGGCAATAGATGCCACTGGGCCAAGGGGAGCGTGGGCTCATGAGTGTCCTCATGATACAAAAGGAGACGAGACTGACAAGGTATCCAAAGGCAGGTGGAAGCGAGTCTGAACTGTAAACTTTGGCAGTTCTATCAACACAGTTGAAAATAACCTTGTTCTTTTGTTTTTGGGCTTTGATGTTGACTTGACAAACAATGCTATCTCTGTAGCATTTACTGTTTCATTTGAAGAAAGCGAAACACTCACACGATTCCTGATCTTAGAAACTCCTTGCACTTCTTTAACTTTAGGGAGACTGGTTTGGCCAGTCAGGTATGAAAGTTTTAGATTACTGAAATCCCTTCAGTGGAGATGTTTTAACATGACATGTTGGGAGTCTTGGGTGCTGGGTTAATTCTGGCCAGTTTTTAACATCATGCCATCAATTCAACATCTACCAGACACATACAAGCTTTCTTTAAGGAGATATAAATATGTGAACTATTTTAAGTCAAGCTGTTGTTTCTTTATTGGGTCCTGAGAGCATACTCTTGCACATGGGTCCACTTTTTTTTTTTTTTACTATGTATACAATGTTAGAAGAGGCCATGAGATCTCATTATAGATGGTTGTGAGCCACCATGTGGTTGCTGGGAACTGAACTCAGGACCTCTGGAAGAGCAGCCAATGCTCTTAACCTGAGCCATTTCTCCAGTCCAGCCAACATGTTTTAAGCACCTGCTCTGTATGAAATGAGGGACTAGACAGTACCTGCCACTGAGGACTAGTTAATGTGGAGTGGCAACAGTTACCATGCCCTGAATGCTCTGCTACTTAATGTGAGGACAGTGCCACCATCACAAACCTACTTAGTGCCTCTCTAACCCTGCTGTATGCATTCTCCTAATTCTCCCAGGTGGACACCTCATATCATGTGTGGATGAAGAGCTTCTGCTTGTTAAGTCCCAGGAGCCAGTACTAGTACTACTACTACTGTACTAGTACTGTACTAGTAGCTGATACTAGTGTAGGCTTAAAAAATTACTTATTATTGTTGTGTGTGTAAGACATGTATGTAGGTTAAAACAATGTTTCTATATACAGACCCTGATTCTAACTGTCAGTGTATGTGGAAACACATCGTTCCACCCAGCTACTTACAATTGCTTTTTTTTTTTTTTTTCGAGACAAGGTTTCTCTGGGTAACAGTTCTGGCTGTCCTGGAACTCACTTTGTAGACCAGGCTGGCCTCAAACTCATAGAGATCCGCCTGTCTCTACCTTCCAAGTGCTGGGATTAAAGGCATGCACCACCATCACCCGGCTGTATTGCTTTTTTTAAAAAATTGCAATGTTTTTGATGTTACAGTTATACACATATAAACCAAGGCTGTTAAAATATGTTCATGACCAAAAATAAAGATGAGAATGACATTTTAAACAAACAAACAAAAATGTAATTGTTTAAGTTTTTATTACATTTCTTTAGCAGGTGTATGTTGGTTGCATGCTTACTACAGAGCACATGCATGGTCAGAGGACACCTTGCTGTAGTCTTCTTTTTTTCCACTAAGAGGGTTCCAGGGACCGAACTCAGGACATCAGGCTTGGAAACAGGTGCCTCTAGTCACTGAGCCCTCTCGACAGCCCCTAACTGTAGTTTCAATGGGCATTTTCCTATAGATTAGTAAGACTGGAATTTTTATCGTTTGGTATTTAAATTACTGTCACATCTTGTCTTCTAGTTTTTTCCTACCCTTTTTTTTTCTTATCAACTGACATCCTTTAATGTTTTATGTTTTATAGGTGGACAACTTCTTTTTTTTTTTTTTTTTTAAAGACAGGGTTTCTCTGCATAGCCTTGGCTGTCCCGGAACTTGCTCTGTACACCAGGCTGCCTTCAAAGTCAGAGATCTGCCTGCCTCCGCCTCCTGAGTGCTGGGATTAAAGGTGTATGCCTCCAGTACCCGGCTGACTTCTTTTCTTTCTTGATAAAGTGCTATTCTGAAAGTCTGGACCAAACTCTGAGAAGTAAGATGTTTCCCTGTATAAGTTTGACAGATTTGGAGATCAGCATAGGAGGCCAAAGGTTCTGGCAGAATACTAACTGCTGGTGACAAACAGGTTGGACCAGGTGGCACGAGGAACCCAGTGTAAACAAACCGAGGTGAGGAGGTCCCAAGCCAGTAAGAACGGCATGCTCTTGCCTTATTCCTACAGCTTGCCACTCACAGTGCTCTCGGCTCCAGCCTGATCCCAGCCAGCGAAAAAGCCTTGTGCTTACTTCTCTAGGCTCATCCACCAGCTGTTCTGCCTCTGCCTGCTGCTTCTCCCTCCTGTCTATTTGATCCTAATCGCAAAGCAAGGCCGAACTCAGCAGTGGACCCGAACTATACACTTTTTAAATAAACGAAGGGAAAATGTAAACTATTTCTCCCTTTTATCAAAGGAAAAAAAACCCACTATTTTTGGGGAAGGGAGGGTCATTTCTAGTTTGAATCAATGTGACTCTCCCAGTAGACAATGTGTTTCAGAAATATATTCTAACCCCTCTGGTCTGTCTCCAGATAGAAAGAAGCTGTACTGGATCTTAAATTCAGTTCCAAATGAGGAAAGCCATTTTTTTGGCTATTGAGAGATTATTCTGAGTTTTGTTTTTCTTTTTTCATATTAAAACTAAGGATTAGATTCTTAGCAGTCTGTCCTAACAACAGTGAGTTACAAGGGGGGCCACTCAGTAGAGCCAAAGATACACTTCACCCAAGACTTCTTACGAAGTGCTGGGTTAAGAACAATCCTTTTTTTTTTTTTTTGTTAAAATATCAGAAACCATTTATGATTCTCTTATATATGGTTTCTACAACTGCATGCAGCTGGCTCACCACACCGCCTTGGTTTCCTATGTTAAAAAGCTACTCCTAGACAATTCCTTTCTCCTTTAATGAAACAACTTGCCAGTTTGGGATCACAGCTGCCATTTGCCCCTGTGGAACCACCTGTCAGCCAAGCTTTTTTTATGTGAGTGAGTGGACAGCACGGGGAAGTCCCTTGAACAAAACAAGCCATGAAAACCAACAACAAACCAGGACAGACAGACAGACAGAAAATAAAGCAAAACAACTTCTGCCCCAAACTTAAGTTCTAATTGCGGTTAATTTTCTAAAGAATCCCTCCTCTGGAAGACCCGGTTCTAGGTCATGACATCTGCTGCTCTTGGCTCCTCTACTTACCAGATTGCTGCTTCAGCTGCTCTTTTTGGATTGCTGCAAACTGCTTGGCATCAGCCAGGGAGCCAAAAAGAGCAGCAAAGGGGTTACTTGAGATGTTGTTGTTATTCTCCTGGTCTGTCATTTCACTTTAAGGTATCCTCCATCCAGCCCTAGGGAGAGGGGCTATGCAAAGGACAGGAGTTAGATTCAGAAGGGCAGACAACACAATCACTGTAGTTACCCATCATTGTTTCTTTTCCCATTTCTTGAGCACTATGCCTTTGAAATGCTTTGAAGTTAAGACATGCCAATTCCTGTTCCCAAACTCAAGACATATTTGGTAAGATGGTTACAAACCTACCAACTGGACACAGCTAAAACTCAAAAGGCTCAAACAGTCAGTGATTGCAATTCTCCATTAACTGTAACCATAGGCCTGAGACATACCACAAGAATTATGGATTTCCCATAAGTTTTTAAGCCAGCAGACTAGTCTTCATTCGCATGCAGAGAACAAGGTGGTACCTGCCAAGACCGCTACAAAGCACTGAAGCTGGGAATTCCTTAGCTACACAGGAACCCAGGGCAAACCCTTTTCTAAAAGGCAGGCTTTCATATTACATGGGGCGGTGACACACACTCAGCTCACTATGTAGTGAGGAGAACCTTGAACTCCTAATCTTGCAAACACTTAAATGCTAGGATTACAAGCATGAAACACCATGCCTGTCTTGACACTCAGATTTGGAACGCTGAATCAAGGCCAGAATAGGGATTAGCTGTGTGTTTGCAGGTCCCTCATGTATATTAAGTAACCTAATTCTACTGATAGGTTAAAACTACAGATCTGGAGCTAGAGAGATGGCTCATTGATTCGGAGTACCAGCTGCTCTTCTAGAAGACTTAGGTTCAATTCCCAGCACCCACATGGCAGCTTACTACTGTCTGTAACTCTAATCCCAGCGTATCTGATGCCCTCTTTTGGCCTCCACACTCACCAGACATGCACATGGAATACAGAGATAAGACCAGGCAAACACCCCGCACACATAAAATAAATAAAAAATTAAAAAAAACAAAAACAAAATTACAGAACCTGCCTCAGCCTTCAGAGTGCTGGGATTACTAGCATTCATCATGCTTGACTAATTTTTTTGATCCTATACTAATTTTTACTGCTTATCTATTTTTTATATTTAAAAAACAAATTCAACTGTCAGGTAGACTGTCTAACATAAAATAGATATAACACCTCAAAGATGAGGGGACAGGATAGGGAGGAGGAAGAAGATTCAATCTACTTTTAGTTAATTAGTCTGTATTTTTAAGACAGGCCTCATTATAAAGCCAAAGCTTTCCTGGAACTTGATGGCTAGCTTCAAACTCATGCTCCTCCTGTCTCTGCCTCCTGAGTGCTAGAATTACAGGAGTGTGTCACCATTACATGGTCTTTCCAAGGCTGGCCTGAATTTGTGATCCTCTTGTTTCAGCCTCCCCAGTGCTGAGATTATAGGAACAAAACACCATGCTTAGCTTACCTTCAGTTCATGGAAGTAAGGTCCCTTGCAAACTCACATTAACAAAAGCTAGTACAAATTGGAAAAGTTACCCTTAATTACTGGAGAGAGAGCTTATATCTTGGCATTTCTTTCTTTCTTTTTTTTTTTTTTTCGAGACAGGGTTTCTCTGTGGCTTTGGAGCCTGTCCTGGAACTAGCTCTGTAGACCAGGCTGGTCTCGAACTCACAGAGATCCTCCTGCCTCTGCCTCCCGAGTGCTGGGATTAAAGGTGTGCGCCACCATCGCCCAGCATATCTTGGCATTTCTATGAGTTGCTTCACGGCCTCTGTTAAATTTCCTGCCCCAGAGTTAAAAGCTAATTAGCCACAGTGACAGCTAGCCAGTCTGACCTCCTCTTAGGATGGTCCTGGGCTTTCCTACCACTCTAAGGAAATGAACTCTTAGATGCTGCTTTCCTTTCCTTTTTTTTTTTTGCCATGTATATTTAGTTGAGCTTAATAGAAAATATCATATTTTATGTTGGAACGAATGGTCCTTGAGAGGACCACCATGTTGCCACTGGTTAAGCTTAGCTCATCTCTAGTTCATGTGGTGCCATCCTAAACCGTCTCGTTGTTGGCCCCACCAAGGTGTCCCGAACTCTAAAAGACGGCAAAAACTATAGTGAACTCTTGATATCTTGTCTCTGGAATAGTACCATCTTTTTCCTCAACATGACACCCTTGGTTTTTCCTCTGAGTATCAATTCCACTCAAGACATATGTCCAGATGATCTGGACATATGTGTTGATCTCATCCACCAGCTCCAGGAAAGGGCATAGAGGACAAAGTGACTGATCCATGAATGGGCAAAAGATCCTATCAAGGGTTATAGGAATTAGTGAACATTGTCTTTGGACTTCTGGCTAAATCTATCGAGAAGGGAACTCTTCCTTCTTGTGTTGCTAGGCTAGTAAAACACAAGCCCAGAGCTGTCACCTTTACACCATCTAAAAAATGGCTACCCCCAAATTAAGCTACTATACAGGAAAACAGAACTCTTCAGACGTCTCAGTTATAGAAGCCAACCAATTGCATATGCCCGTTTGAAGTGTGTGTGTATGTACAGGTATGTGGCATATATGTACACAGGTATGGAGGCCCATGGAAGACGCTGGGGTCTCTGTTTGATCAGTCTCCTTATTCACTTGAGACAGGATCTCTTACTGAAGCTGGAGCTGAGATGAAGGCCAGCGAGCACCACCAATTCTCCCATCTCTGCTCCCCATAGTGCCAGGGTTACAGGGGTACATGTGGACACATCTAGTCTTTAAATCGAGGATTTAAACTCAGGTCCTCAAGCTTGAATATCAATAGCTCTTACCCACTAAGTCATCTATCTCCAGGCTTTTGCTGTTGTTAACTGAAACAGGGTCTCACTGTGTTACTCAGGCTGGCCTTGAACTTAGAGTGATTCTTCTGCCTTAGTCTCCAAGTGCTAAGATTAGAGGCACAGATAACCATGTCTGGCTTGAGTAAATTTTTTTAAAAATATAATTGAAAAGTCAGGTGTTGTGGCACATGCCTTTAATCCTGGCATTTGGAAGGCAAAGGCAGGCAGATCTCTGTGAGTCTGAGGCCAGTCTGGTCTATAAAAAGAGTTCCTGAGCCAGACCAGGGTAGCTTACGCCTTTAATCCTAGCACTTGGCCTTTAATCCTAGCACTCCGGAGGCAGAGGCAGGTGAATCTCTGTGAGTTCAAGGCCAGTCTGGTCTACAAGAGCTAGTTCCAAGACAGGCTCCAAAGCTACAGAGAAACCTTGTCTAGAAAAGAAAAAGAAAGAAAGAAAGAAAAAAAAAAAGGTCACACACACAAATTTGAAGGGTCCAGATCATTAGACACGAGACAACAACCTGCATCACGTATGTAAAAAGGAAGCTGAAAGTCAAGAATACAGAAAGCCAAGGAC